ATTAATTAGTTTGCGAATTCCTTAAGCTTTATTTATGCAAATTAATGCAATATGCAAAAATTAAAGAAGTTACTTTCATACATTTAAAAATATTAGTCTCATGAAAAAGTAAAACGAATAATACTTTTGAACAATACAAAATAAAAAAAAAATTCTTAAACGTTGCGTTTAAGTATTTTATTGCTTAACATTATATTGTAAAATGTTTTTCTAGCATTCAGAAGTTCACAAAAACGCAGCAGAACGTTAAATAACATCAAATTTTTGTTTACAAGTAACATAATTAACAGAACACATCTTTCCGTGAGTTGCCGCAAGCTGAAAACGTCAAATATCTAGGTGTACATTTTGATCGTCGTCTAAATTGGCGTCACCACATCTTTACGAAACGGAGGCAATGGTTAGTTAATCCCAAATCCAAGTTATCGCTACAAAATAAAATACTTTTATACAAGGTCGTCCTAAAGCCAATCTGGACTTACGGTATACCCATCTGGGGTATAGCACTGAAGTCAAATTTAGATATGCTTCAGAGGTTTCAATCAAAAATATTACGTATCTGCGCCGTCTCCGCCGTATGTTCCGAATGACGTCCTACATCATTATCTGGGCATCTCTGCAGTGTATGAGTCAATACACCAAATAAGCAGCAACTATCACTCCCGACTGGTAGTTCATTCTAACTCCCTTGTCGCAGAACTAATGAGGGATTCTTATAACATTCGTACACTAATACGCAACTTCTGATTTGCTACATTGACCGAAAAGCTTTCGGAAATTCTCATTTAAAATTCGCGCGCTGTATATTTTCCGATATTTTAAGTTTATGTAGTTTGGCAGCACTGTCCTTAATTACTATGCCAAAAATGAGCGCGATCTGTCAGACAGTTCGTTTACGGCAGCTGTTGAAACCAGTTCACCTCAGTAGGGCGTTGCGAAAAAAACAATGGAAAAAAATATTGAACAAAGAGTTTGCATCAAATTTTGTGTTTCGAACGAAATTTCGTGTGCAGAATCGTTGCGAATGCTACAAAAGGCTTATGGGGAATCAGTTTTATCGAAAACTCAAGTTTATGAGTGGTACAAAGCCTTCCAGGACGGTCGTACGACCGTCGAAGACATTTCGCAACGCACTACTGAGGTGAACTGGTTTCAACAGCTGCCGTAAACGAACTGTCTGACAGATCGAGCTCATTTTTGGCATAGTAATTAAGGACAGTGCTGCCAAACTACATAAACTTAAAATATCGAAAAATATACAGCGCGCGAATTTTAAATGAGAATTTCCGAAAACTTTTCAGTCTTAATGTAGATTCCAAAATAAAACATAATAATCGTAGTCTAATACACACCTAGCTGCTTACTTCTACTTAATTGAAATACAACACTATGCACTGGGAAGAATAAGGGAAAAGATGTGTCCGATGTAGTAGAGTAAGGCCTCCGAAATAGGTGTAACGATTTACATTAATTTATTAGACGTGAGTTTGTAAATTGGTAAAGTCGTAGGTAGGGATTAAAAATTTATTAAATTTTTATTTATGTTTTAAAAAAGTTTGTGTTAAAAAAAAAATATTCCTATAATATCCTATTTTTACAATACTTTTATTTCTCATTTGCTTTTTCATAAAAGAATATCAAAATATTTGTAAATATTTGCTTTACACTTATTTTTTTAGATTTATAAAGGGTGTGATAAAATAATTTTTCTTGAAGAGTCAGGAAAAGTGCGACTCCCGCTATGTAGAGTTATACTTTATAGTTATCCACAAATGCAAAATGTTTAATTTAGGAATTTTGTTCAATAAAAATAACTTTTCGTAGTAAATAGATTACATACATTGTATATAAAACGAAACAATATTTAATTAAATAGTAGCAAATTTTAGATAACTAGATAACAAACGTATAACGATAATGACTGCAGTTTATAAAAATTAATGTATTTTTGGAAAATATCAATATTCGATTCGATTTTTAAGCCAGAAGCATAACAGTCTTATCTCTAACCAAAATTATAAAATCATATGCTTAATTTTTTTGTGATTATATGTGTACAATACATTTACGACTTAATATATATACTTAATATTTATAAAAAAGAATATTTTCATTTTGTTTAATAGAAAAAAATAATTGAAGAAAATTGAGAAAGAATTTTTCTCAAATATAATTTTAGAATATTAGTTGAACTGAGCATTTTCGAATTTTAATTTCAAAACATTACCAGGGTAGATCAAAAAGCCAAGAAAGAGAAGTATTTTATCAACATTTCTATCACTTTTTAATTGGACTCTTATGAAAAAATTAGTGCAATTTTTTAACATAAGATACGTTCGGCATTTTCGAAGTGTGGCAAAAAAACAACAAGTTGCTTACTATAGTCGCTAAGTAAAATATTGATATTACTGTTGCAATCTGTCAAATTTTATGTTTTCGCAAAGAGCAAAATAAATAATTAATATTAAATTGAAAATTAAAATGAATAATAAATTAAATGAAGTATTTTGAAAGTTCCTTTCACAAAAAAATTAATAATAGTTTTAAATATTTATGTCTTAATAAGTATTAACTTTTTAGCAACTAATAAGTTAAAAATTAAAGCGTTTTTTAATTATACTCTCTTCATGTACTTTTATACATTTTTGTATACATTTATGTGTATATTTTTTAAATATTTATTTTCTACAATTAGGCATATTTTTAAAATATTTAATTTAACAATTTTCAAATTTTTGAAATTTTTTGATTTTGTTTAAATTTTTGTTTACAAACTTTTGACAGATCACTGAAATATTCGTTGAAATTTCTAACGAAGGTTCACAATATATTGCTTATCGTTTTGGTAACATTTTTTTCCGCAATCGCGAAGATGTTTGGCCCCTTCATAACTAGTCGTTTAGTTAGAGAAAGTAGTGTTATTGCTTTGCGTACATTTTAGCGGTTTTAAGCAAGCAACTTGTTGTTTTTTGCCACACTTAGGAGCTACCGAATACACCTATAGTTTTTTTTTTTTTGCATGAGAGAAAATCAAAATAAAAGCTACTGTGTATATCTATAGTTTTTTTTTGTGTTACGAAGAAGAGGAAACAACAGAACACATTCTATGTCACTATGATAGTCTCGCTAGACTCAGACTTCGGCACTTATTAACTGCCTATCCATTTATAACGGAAATAGGCAACATCTTTCCAAGGGACATAATGGCATTTTTAACTGTTATGCGCATATGGAACTAAAACGGGTGCACCACAATAATCCTAAAGGATATAGTGACATATTTTCCAGCACCTTCTTAAATCAAATCTAATCTATATCTATAGTTTGTCATGTAGAATGTACGGCGCCACTGGTATTTACACGACAACAAGGTAGTTCATTAAAGCACTTCTTCTTCACCAAAATAGATCATGGGCAATATGTTATCGATAATTTGATTAAATTGTCTATTTTCTCCAAAATATGCAAGAATTTTTAATAACATTTAAATTAACACACATTAAATGTGATAGTTTGCACAAAATTTGATATAAATCTTATGTACAGTTAAAGAATTGGTGCTCAATTTAGTTTAAATATATACATATAACAGTAATAAAAATGTAAATTCAGCAGTAACAAAATGCTGGCAGTTGAAGAATTTAGAATAAAATAATTTTAAACCGAAGAAAATAAAACTGCCATTTCAATTGTATAAAACTAGAAAACAACAACTTTCAACAACTTCAGTAGAATATAGTTGAGTGAACTTGTTCCAGGGCATCCAACCTACAATCAAATGCATAATTTTATACAGTTCCATAAATTTTTTAATCAACAAAATAGTTCATTTTTATTATTTATACCCAAATCTTGGATGGATACATGCATATACATATATCCATATCACCATATCTTTTATAAAATTTTTAATAAAACATAATCCTTATTCATTATTTACACTCTGGGGCATTATCATGCTAACTGTGCTTATGGCAGGTTGCACAGAAATATTTTTTTAAAAATGAATTATTTATTTTAACGAACAATTTGTCTGCAACTAATTAGCTTCACCGTCATAGATGATCTTGAACTTAAATGATTTCTACAGTCAGTGCTAAAATTTGTCAAAACAATATTACAATAACACTACACTAATATGGAAATAATGTACTTGTTATGGTACATAATTGTTCAATGCTCATTATTAATGTGTTTTAACCGGATTTCTTAGGGAAAAACGTCCATAACTCCATGAATCATCATCATCATTGAAAATCATAGATGAACCGTCAATTTGAAAAGAAAACATAAATCAATATTCAACCGGCATGCGCGGCACGTTCACACTGTCCCACTTAAAGAGCGTTGACAGTTTAACATAATTTCAATTATTTTTATTATAGTCTGAAGTGTTCATTAATTACAGCGGTTGTCTTACTATCTACTTAGTACTTAGTCTGACCAAACAACTAACGATGGAAAGTCTTAATATAGACTGTGTATGCACAATAAGTAAATACGTTGGAAATGTTATTAAGTTTTCGATAGACAATATAAAAATTATTCATATTCGAATTCGAATATCGAAATCGAGAGCATTTGCGAAAAAAACTTATGAGCCATAAACAATTTCATAGGGTTATTGCATATTATAAAATGTCAGTACTACTTAGTGGCACAGTTGGCACGTTTTCTAAAGCAATTGTAATCGATTCCTCATAATACCATCGATGGCAATTCATACGCAATCGGAAATCATTTGGTGGGAGTTATATATTACTGTATATTGTTGCATAATAACATAACTTTTTATATGCATGTTACCCATTTTTTTGGCATTTGTTTCCCAATTAAAATATTACGACCACAACTATTGTGTAGATATCGCGTAATTGCTCGAGTAATATTTTTGCTTAAATAAGTGACCGATTAGCCCAGTAATGTCATTCAAGCGAAAGTAAACAAACGTTTAGCACAACCCACATATACCAAAGAATAAAAAAAATCATATTTGAAAAATGGCTTTTCTTAAGGTGAGTACAAATACAAAACAAGGATAATTGTGAAAAAAAAATTAAAAAAGGATTATAAAAATATTAGATTGCAATTGTATGCTGTGCACTTATTTCCGTAATTGAATGTGGATTATTACGTGCAGCACCTGTAGCACTTGCACCAGCGCCAGTTGCTGCAGTACCTTTGAACACAGAAATCGATCCACATCCACAGTACGCTTTTGCATATAACGTACAGGATGCCTTAACCGGTGATAGCAAGAGCCAACAAGAAGTGCGTGATGGTGATGTTGTGAAAGGCTCCTACTCAGTTGTGGACGCTGATGGTTCCTTACGTACCGTTTTCTATACCGCTGATCCTATAAATGGTTTCAATGCTGTCGTGCAACGTGGTCCAGTTCCTGTTGTACCAGCTAGACCTGCACTAGCTGTAGCCGCAGCACCTTTACCTGCACGCATATTCTAAACAACTAACCTCAAGTTCATCGCTGTGCTTGTTTCAAGTCAAAAGTCATTATCTTTATGTAGTATATGTTATTGTTATTTTTAATTTTATATTCTTGTGTAGTTCAATTAAATTAAGACATTGTAAGTAAATATTTAAATTTTACTAAAGGCATAAATATGCAATTAGTAGACAATAAATCACACTGAAAGCAATTCTTCGATGTAAGAAAAGAAAGAATGTTGAATGAATGTCATTTATATGTCAGCATGTTACACGTTTTTATTGGAAAAATTGTTAACGCCCAAATGCAAGCAATTCTGTTTTATAAAATATTATTGACCAAAAATATTTCATTAGAAAAACAAAACAACAAAAAAAGCTACACTGTTCCAAAAGTCGATCAATGATTTGACCACGCAACTTCGTTCCAATTGTGCGTACAATTTTGCCTTTGAGCGTTGGCAATTAAGTGATTTACAAGGCAAATGAACGTGTGCGTTTCGCGCATGTGCAACATGATTCATGGGCAGCTGAGCGACTGCCTCCGTTCTGGCTCAAGAGTAATTGTTACCCAAACTGCACTTAGAAAATGTGCACTTAAGTATTTTTTGATTTATTTGTTAATAATTGCAATTTGAAGTCTAGCGCAGAAATATATTATAAATATTATTAAATGGAAAAGAATTGGGTGCGAGCGATCATGACTGTGAATCACAGATTTCAAAAACTTAACGATGCGCCATCACGCACGCACACCCTAAGACCAAAAATTTTCCGCAGATTTACAGAAATTTTTTTCTCTTTACAATTGAATTTAATAATAAATATAATTTGTAATTTTTACATATTTTAAGTAGCTGTTATACTATTATTTATATGGTAATAAATTCACAAAATTTACATATTTGGGCCAGATATTGTATGCTCTTGATGATAGTTTATATACTTAATATTAAAGGTTAAAGCATAAAACAGTAAAATATATTATTATAAATGTTGCTATCTTTTAATTAAAGAAAAACAAAAATAATAATAAAAATAGTAATAAAATAATAATAAAAGTAATAAAATAAAAATAATAATAAAATAATAATATTGAAATAAGAAAATAATTATAAAATAAAAAAAATAATAGTAAAATAATAATATTGAAATAAGAAAATAATTATAAAATAAAAAAAATAATAATAAAATAAAAAAGATAATAATAAAGATTTTTTGGTCATTCAAACAATAAATTATTTAAAATAATAATAAATTATTAAAAATAATAATAAAATAATAATAAAATAAGAAAAATAATAATAAAAATACTTATAAAATAATAAAAATAATAATATAATAATAATAATATTATAATAATAATATAATAATAAATAAATAATTATAAAATTATAAAAATAATAATAAAATAAGAAAAATAATAATAAAATAATAAAAATACAAACAGAATAGTATTGAAATATAACAAATAAAAATAAATATGATTAATTAATTCAATTATTCTACAGCTGATTTATGATTTCGTTCTAATATATAACACAGCAAATAAATTTGCTAATGAACTTAACAAACTTCAAAGAAAGAGCAAACATACAAGTCAAGTACATCTTTGGGTCAGTTAGCTAATGAACGCTGACTCTGAGCTTCAAATTTGGCAGGGCATGAGTTCAATACCTGGTATTTGCAGTTTCAAAAAAATTATGTACGAATAATTAAATACAAGATATAATTCCAACTCCATTGATGATGGGTTGTTGTAGTTTACTACTTCTCAAAATCTCCCTATATATATTTCTATTTCTACTGCATTTTATGGCTGACTAAGGTGTTTCCCGAACGCCAATACCGATTATCAGGGTCTATAACAATATTTGTATAGAATTTTTCGTCCATACTTTTGAGCTGCAAGTGCCGTGTTTACAACTTCAACAGACACGAGTTAATGTTGCTTAATAATGTACATTTATATGGATTATGTATTGTATGTTTATAAACATAAATACGCTGTTTATAATATTGGAGAAGTTATAAAATAATAACTATAATTAAATTTTGTTTTGTAAATATAAAATAAGATATATTAACTAAAGTTACATATATAAGAATAAATTAGGCAAGCAATAATAATTTCTGAATTAATGATTCATTGAAATAAAGTCTTATTAAAATAAAATGTTTGCAAAATTAATTTTTAATAATTATAATTACTGTTCAATATTTATTATTTGTTGTTATTTATTGAAATTTATTACTTCAAAAACTTAATCGATCCATCACCTATATTTCAAATATATACTTTTTTTATAATAAAATAGTTTTTATACCATTGAACGCATAATCTACTTTTAATTAATTATTTGTTTATTTTATTTCATGCGAATAAAAATTATTAATTATTTTTTCACATGTTTAAAATCAAGTGAGACGAGACTTTTTAGTTTGTTTGTAATATTGTGAATTTGTTAATAGTTTGTTTTGTAACATTAACTTGGATATGCAAATAAGATACATTGAATTTATTTAAATGTAAATATATTTTAGATAAAATTGCGTGGCTTACGCAACCAATCATGAGACATATAAACAAGCGTGAAATCGGAATTGAAATAATTGCAAACTGAAAATCGATTCCAGATTAGTTAGACTCCTAACGATGTAGGGCAAAATGGTAAATTCATCGATCTTAGACTCCTCCTTGACTTGCGGAAAAAAATTGTATGTATTAAAGTGGTACAATGCCATAAGAATATATATATATTTTTGCGTAAATTTTTTGACACTTTGAATTGTTCTACAGATTTTTCTTAGGTTTGTGACAGTTAAATGTTGATCAACAAACAAGCGCATACGCATATGACAAGCCGTCGACACCAAACCCAAAATTGTAAAATAAAACACAAAAAAAAAATATATATATTTCAACGGTGTTGAAGAACATCTAGAAACCCTATTTTGACACTTATTATTGAATAATATATGTATATAATAAAACAGATATCTTATTTAAAAATTTACGAAATTCTTATATAAGCTTAGAAGTTGCTAAAGCATCAGCGAGGGTTATAATTTTTGTCTAGCTGTGACAAAGAATGTAAATACTATAAGATACTACAATGATCATGTAGACGAAACGAGAGGTCGATAGAAATGTTACTCCACCTATCTTATTTTTCAAATTTGAAGACATCTGTGTGAGTTTCGATACATGGCTTTGAATCGTATTCTTTCCATGCCAACAATTCTTTATAGGGATTAGGAGACGATTGAACTTATCAAGAAAAAGTCTCCAGATTTTTTGCCAAAATCAAAGAACTAGTCAAAAAATATGGTATGAAAGAAAGTAACACCTGTTAGTATGGCAGCTAGAAAATAAGTGTTCCTTTAAAGAATTAAGACTGTTTAATTGAGCATTATGTACTTTTAAATTTCATGAAGTGGTATAGGATTTGTTCCTAACAGCTGTTAAATAACGTATTATTTTTACTTTTCCGATACATTAAACACAACTGTCACCCTGTAGTTTAATACCCTTACCACTAAAATTCCCTTTCCCACATTATATTCCCATGTTCGTGGAGCGAAAAGCTACGTTTTTGTAAAAGAGTGATTATTATAATAATGTATTCTTATTACTATTATATAGTAATAAGAATATTAATGTATTCTTAATACTATTATGTATAATAGTATTCTTTAACCTATGAAAAGTATCGTGCTATCTCTGAAGAAAGTTTCTTAAATCTACAAAAACAAATTTGGCTCAGTTGAAATTTTTTAGAGATACTGAACTAATTTGCTAATAATGTTATTCTTAAGCAGATAAGAAGACTTGATATATCACTCTGCATTATACAGAATGTGTGGTTATTAAGAATTCACAAAAATCCATGCGAATGAAATACCTATTGACTAAGAAAAAATTTGCAATATTTCTATTTCGCCTAAAAACCTTAGATAGATAAGTGAATTATAACTAACTTCTGTGATTATCAGAATTATTCAAAATTTCAGTTTAATTAGATCTTCTTGTCATATTTAAGGATATAGTATTTAATGCTGCAAATTTCTTATATAGCTTATTATAAAATTATCAAAAACTCTTCAAAAAAAGCAATTGCATTTTTTAGATTTTTTTCACAAATAAGTAAATAAGAATATAATGCCCTAAGTAGAATCAATAAATCATGCTTATATATGATAGAACCAGAAAAGTAAGTGCATACAATTCGTAAATATTAGTTAAATTTCATTTAAAATGATTAGATTACATACATACTGTTAAATATATTTAACCAATTAAGAGCATAATACATTGCTAAATTCATATTTTATCTACCAATCTATCTATCTAAGGTTAAAATATTTAACAATTTAATACAATAAACTAAACTTTACGATATACATACGATACATTCTAACAAGTGCTTATTGTAGTCCTTATCAGTTTACCCGATGAGTTGGAAGATGGATTTTTGAGAGGTGTGATAAAATTGTCTCAGATTATCTCAGAAGGTCAGATTACTAGTCATATTCTTTGTGACGATCCGGCTTTAATATGGGTCAGTATAAAAGTGCTGCGACGCATGCTTCTTTCCCTGTCTGTTCATAGAAAGTTCTTAACTTAGCCACTTTAGTGTGTATTCATAAGCTTTATGTCTTCTATTTGATTAAAATAAGTTAATAACGTAAAGAATCTACTATAATTATTTTCTAATTTTTAATAATATTAATTTAAACAGTTTTTCCATTAAGTAAATATTTTAAACTAGTTCATGTAGAATTAAAAAAAACAATATTGTGTCAAATATACCTGACATTATATTGAAATGTAAATATACCCCAAAATGTTTTGCGGTGATTTGCGTGCAATTATTTTTATAGTTTTCCTCTAACCACTGCCTTGTTTAGGCCACTTATATTGTGCTTTTTATTCCATAAAACTTTTTAACATTTTCAAACTATTTTTATTTAGTTAAATTTGTACTGTAGAAGCCATAAACAAAACGAATTTTTAAGAGTCCATCAAAATTTTGAACCAATATAACAATAACGATTATAATAACAACAACGCGTGTTAGTTGCGATTTAAAAAGCCGTTTGAATTGCAGATTTAAATACGTTTAAGGGGCGCAGCGATTACAACCTCCCAGTGCGTCAGGTTTGAGACAGTACAACCAAAATGACAGTGGGAAGGTGAAAATCATCTATTACGTTATGCGTCTACTAAACGCAAAGCAAAACAATGCAACGCAGCGCAGTGTAGCGATCGAAATGCTTTACATCAAATTCAATTCAGAGCTTTACAAGATCTCGACTTCTCTTGCAGTTACTGAGTGCAAAGATCGATCTAAGGTTGGAACCGTGAGTGCGCTTGCGGCAGCGTTTAGGCCTAACTTCAGTTTTTTTCAATATTCAACTTCTCTGCATCTGCTTCTGCTATAGGCGATGCCGATGAAAAATGAATTATTTTTATTTTTTTTAGCACTTATGCATAAATATTTGCAACTCGTATCTGGCGGGCGGGCGTCAATCTGAAATGCGTGTGTGTGTGTGTATGTGTCATATTTTTCTATGCCTCCAAAGCAATTTTTTTGTCTCTAGTGTAGGTATATAAAGCAATTGTCATTTTGGGTAAGAACCACAGAGTAGATTCATTTGTCAAACACAGCAGTCATGGTTCAAAAGGCAAGTTCTACTGAAAACTGTCGTGAAATTTAAATTATTTTTAATTTTCAATTCAATTTCTTTTAAATGCAGTTTATCATCCTAAGCGTTGTTTTCGCAGTTGCAACAGCTGTTGTTGTACCAGCACCAGCATATCCAGGGCTAGGAGGTTTGTCGGCATATTCACCTTATCATGCACCTGCATTAGCTGCTCCAGTTCTTCCAGCTATTACTAAAATTGCGGCACCAGTATATCCTACAATTGCAAAGATTGCCACACCAGTCGTAGCAAAAGTTGCTGGACCAGAACCTTACGATCCAAATCCAGAATATAGTTTCAGTTATGATGTACATGTAAGTATATTGATTTTTATATAAAATGATTATAACAAAATAGTATAAAAACAAAATTTAAATCACGTTTATTTGATTCACAGGATGCTTCAACTGGCGATGTTAAGAGTCAGCAAGAATCACGTCATGGTGATGTAGTACAGGGCGCTTACTCACTTATTGAAGCTGATGGTACAAAACGTTTAGTCGAATACACTGCCGATCCAGTTAATGGTTTCAATGCCGTTGTACATAAGGAAGCTGCTGCTGTCAAAGCTGTTGCACCAATTGCTAAAGTAATTGCACCAGCACCTTTATTACATGCTGCTCCAGCTCTTGCTGTAGCTAAACCATTGCTTGCACCTGCTTATGCTGCTCCAGCTTATGCTGCACACTCTTATGCTGCCCCAGCTTATGCTGCTCCAGCCTATGCTGCCCCAGCTTATGCCGCCCATACCTATGCTGCGCCAGCTATTGCCAAGGTTCCAGCTATTGCATCATATATCCATCATTAAAAATTAACTTAGTCAAATCATGAAAAACGTTTCAAAAACCGTTGCCGACCTCTTGCCATATTCGTAAATAACGACAACAAAGACAAATGAGATTCTGTTTTTTTAATATTAATATATAATGGAAGTGAAACAAACGACAAATTCCATCAAAGAATTTTGCATTCCAACTATCCACATAGTCATACATACAATACGTGGTTTAAGGACTACAGTTCGAAGTGGAAATAAATCAATTTAACAGTAGTATTAGAAAATGAATATGAAGTCCATCATTATTACTGATTCAATGACCAATTAGACCAGGTCTCTAGTTTCTTACTAACATAAACAAAGTCAACTAAATCAGATATTATCCTGTTAGTCCTTTATGTCTGTAGAAACTTTTTAAACATTTTGTTAGTTTTTTGTATATGTTTTATTTGTTTTTCATTTCATTGAAAATATCCTTGTTTAATGTTTATGTTAAGGCTGTTTGACCGCGATAAATAATTATGTTAATTACTTGTAAATATTCAACAAATAAATTTGTTATAAAATATGCAATTAAATTAAAATTTTTTTATTTCAATTAAAGACAATTTAAATAATTACAAACTAATATTGAAAAATACCTAAATATAATAAAACAATAAAATAAAATAATATTAAAATAAATAAAATAATAAAAAAAAAAACCAATAAATAAATAAAATCATAAATAAATAATCCAATAAATAAATAAAACAATATATAAATAAAACAATAAAATAAAATAATATTCAAAATTATTAAACTACAATAAAGAAAGACATATTGCTATGTATTATTTTATTTAAATAATTATTAATACATATGATATTTTATATTAGACATCACTAAGTATAAAAATACTTAATATATAATTATTATTGCATATCTTTTAACATTTTAAATATTAATTGCAATATAATAATATATAATTATTTTAATGCAATAATTTTATAATAATTAAATAAATCAATTCAATAATATTAATTTACATTAAGATAATACTAATAATTATTTAAAATAATAAAAAATAATAAAAAATGAAAAATTATATTGCAATAACTATATAGAAAATATGGAACCATATTATAATATAATATCAATAAAATCATAACATACCATATAACATATAATCATATATTTTTTTGTAATTGAATAATAACATAATAAATATACAGCATTAAATTAATATGGTATGTTATATTTTATGATATTTTTTAGTATGGTTTCCATATTTATAAGTTATTGCAATTATATTTTTCATTTTTTATTTTTTATTTATTTTAAATACTTATTAGTAATGAATTTAATGTTAAATTATATTATTGAATTATTTATTTATTATTATAAATATATTGCATTAAAATAATTATATATTATTATATTGCAATTAATATTTAATAATTTTAAAATTATTGCAATAATATATTATATATTAATATTTTATTATATTTTAGTGATTGTCTAATATAAATATCATATTGTTATTAAAATAATTTATTTAAATAAAATAACTACATTATGCAAATATGTCTATTCTTTATTTATTTTTAATTATATTTGATATATTTATATATTTATTATATTATTTTATTTTATTGTTTTATTTATTTATTGGATTATTTATTTATGATTT